CATAATTTTTCCCCCGAAAATTCACCCCAGTGTCTCCGTTTCCCGCGGGGGGTGCGGTAACGAACTTTCGGGAACTAGCCGAGATTTGCATGGCATTACCCGTCCGCGAACGTTCGGGCGACGTTTTAACGGCGTTTTCCCGCGTGTGCCTCCGCGATTTGCATAAACGTCTCCGTTGGAAACGCGGGCCATTCTCTCTCTGCATAAACTCCTTGGTCGTCGTGGAGGTTGCGTTGAACGTGTAACGTAGAAAGCGCGTGTCGTTGGTGCCTGCCCACGTAGGATCGAGGGAATCAAGGGCTGTATTTCTCGTCCTAGCGAATTTCATCGATCGATTGGCGGAAATTGAATGGAATCCGTTCCGACCTGCAGAAACGACCACTGCCTACGTCTAGCCTTTGTCCCTGCACTTTGGACAATAAGAGAGGATGCGGAACCGTGGAGAACGGATAGAGAAGAACATAGAGGGAAAAAAGACGAGTCGACTGGACGAAGAGTTGGCTCGATACGCAATTAAACGTAATTAAATTAATTGGGCCAGCGGACAATCAGGCCAATTACCGATACCAATCAACGATCGGGCTACCTACTGCCGTTCCTCGCTACACCCACGGGGCTTTTTTACTCGGATGACAAACCCCATTAATTACAGGCCCGCGAAAGCCGACCCTCGAAAATTAGCACCCTCGCTGGCCCGAGCTGCCAATTTCAGGTGGACTCGACCGGGGACTCTGCGCGAATTTACCTATCTTCCCGCGCAAATCTCGATGTGGCAGGGGCTTGTTTTTTTTTTTTCACTCGATCGTGGAAGTTTTGCAAATTCTGAGGTTGATTGGCGGTGTCTTTTGAAGTGTGCTTCGAGTCTCGAGACAGTCTCTGTGATTTTTTACTTCGACTAGGATTTGTTTATTAGTTTGCGAATTTTTAAGTTGACACGAGGAAACTTTGAACTTTTCAACACTCAACCCTTTGAGTACAGTGGACTCACCGACATTGTGACTCAGTGGACATTCTTTTTTAGTAAAAAGAACAGTCGAGGAAAATATAATTTCGATATGGTTTGGTTTACGAAAATTTAGCGAAAGGGTTGAGCAATCAATCTCCCAGATTTCCTGTTAGACGATGTAATAGAAATTTGGAAAAATATTTTTAGGAGTGGTGAATGATAAAGAGCGATCACTTCTGGAAAGGATTTTAACGTAGGAATAGGGTCGATCTGTAGTCTAGGGACCGGCCAGGGAACTCCACCGCGTTCGACCTCCGCAGACACCGGGTTCTCAATGGAATTTGAATTTTGGAGAGTTCACTGAATTTCCACTTGGCTTACGTATAGTTGGTTACTCGCCATCTGACGTCTGCATCTCTAGAGATCGCCCTTGTGTCTGAGTTAGTAACGAACCTCTTCGCAATTCCGGCTGCAGCAATGAAACAATGCTCAAATATCTATTACACAATTCTCACGTTTCACGCAGTCGATCGAATGTAAAATTGAAATAATTGGAAATTTTCAAACACTCGAATTTCCACGCAATGTCTACGTCTATCGCGAAGTAGTTATCGATTGCTTGGTATCGAAACGGAGCGCAGAAAGGAGGTTTTAACGTTAATCCGTGAAAATTCATAATTGCACGTTGCATGGTAACGCGGTCGTTTCGCAAGCGTGCTCCATAGCCAGGCCTGGCGATCTATCGATATCTCGCGATTAAACGATTACCGAGATTGATATCTCAATTGGCGGGTAACGATTTCTCTGCTATTACGGCGGTTCGTTTCCATGCGAGGAAAGGTCTGAAATTTCACTTGTCAACGGCGATCGGGTTCGTTATCGAGCTTGAATTCGCTGGTTTAATGGAATGAACGCGATTGGGAAGATTGATCGACGAGGAACTGGCGAAATACCTTATCAAAAGTTGCAGATTTTCGACTTGAAACGATTCTACAATTTTCTCACAGAGATGCAGTAGGTATATAGTCACAGAAAAATCGTAAATTAAAGGGTTAACCAGCATCTTCATTTGCAAGCTCTCAAATTTCATTCCAATCAATTCCAGCAAATTCTTCGATTATTTTCATTTGAAGACACTTTAACGCAGCAAAGTTTCTATAGTACACGGATTTCAAGAAGGAAACGTGTACAAATGTGTATACTCTCAACTGTACATTTTTTATATTTTTCTTGTTTATTTACATTTGATACGTAAAATAGGTGTACCTCCTGTACCAAACGTAATCTGAGAGCCGCCTGACTTCTCGCTGTTGAGTCGAAACGACTCTGCATTCGTCGTACGAGGGTGCCTAAAAATTGAACACCTTCTCATTTCCACCCTAAACTTGTCCAAACACTTTCAAATCGCAGCACAAAGTGCAATAATGCAGACAGACACGTGAAATTGATGAAACTAGACTAAAAATCCCCGAAATCCTCGAAAACGAGAAAAATCGAGCTTAGCCAGAAGGTTAAACACGGATGATCGCATCAACCAATCGGTACCCTTTCCCTGTCCCCCTCCGTTCTAATGAGAAAATTCCAAGCGGATCAACAGGAGATCGTAGGAGACATCAAACGTGGATCGAAAGAGGGGAAGGGGGTTGGTTAAAACAGCACGAAGCTTGAAGTTGCCGGTAATCTCGTTGGCAGATCGTCGCAGCCGGTTATTAGGCATGTGCAGCTCTCACGAAAATCCTCGCCCTCGCGCGCGACCGGCTAACAGAAAATTATCGCGACCGCGTATCGTTCCCGGAGGGGCTGCAGCCTCGGAACTCACCCCTGGCCGAACGTGGCCGCATTATGTATACGAGAGGCTGGCCGTGGTGCACACGAGGGGATTCCTCGCGGTATTCGTTACTAATGGGCGTTCTATTTAGCGGCGCCCTCGGCCCTCCAGGGACGTGTCACGCGTCACTGGTCTCCCGTGTTACAATGCTCGTGACGCCGCTGGACGTCAAAGAGTCAACGCAAGTCAGGGCATCCCTTGTCCCGTTTCGAATAGTTCTATCTCTACTATCGAGGAACCTCTCTTCTCTTCTTCTTCTTTCTAACGTGCACGCAAGCGGATAGGAAATGTTCTGTCCCTCCTGCTCTGTTTCGAGTAATGTTTCAGGGGAATAAAAATTTGGGCGGAGGAAATTTTGAGGCGGTCCCTTTTCGGGACTTGAAACGTTGCGGTTTAGAACACTTTGATTATCGGGGAAGAGACTCTTTCTCTTTAAATAAATTAACGAGGAAAATTCATTTAATATAGGTTGGGTTAGAGAAGGGTTCCCCTAATTTTCAAGTTAAATACAGTGTTCCATAGTATAATTATTTTCAATTTCTCTGTCTTCTGATTAATTCGGCTTCAAATTTGATCTACGATAGTTCCGAGTCTAATAAACAAATTTTGAAAATCTCTTGCGTAGAAAGTATCTTTTGCATTCAACTTTGTCTCACCAAAATTAATAATATACACATTTAAAATTTCGCAAATGGTAGATCTCCGAATGAAACTACCTTACGTCTTCGCATTTCCACAGAATTCCTCTCGTTGGCCAGGAATAATTGGAATGAAAATTCACGAGGAGATAGAAACGCGTCACGTTTCACCGTGACAGAACTTTTCCCGATCGCCTAATATTCGACCGGCCTGGCGTCTCGACGTCCGTTAACGGGTGCAGGCGAGCGCGCGAGATTCCACGGGGCGACACTTTTCCGGCAGGCCGAGGGGCGACGGGGGCCGTCGTGCCCCTCGATCAACGTCAATCAGCCGTTAAACAATGACGCGCCGCGCAAAGAGGATTTTATTGTATTGCGGAGAGAGCAAAGTTCCGGGCACAATGCCTGCTATTTCCCCCGCCCTCTCGGGGCCACGTGAAGTCACCCTCGAATATATATTCTCCTCCATCCGCGAACAGTCAGCCTACCACCCTTCGTTTTTTCTTCCCGTCTCGCGTCTCTACAAAACTGGATGCGCTTTTTTGCCAGCCCTGTGTGCGAGTCTCTCGTTGTCACAGTGACATTGTAACCTGGAAAATGTGCCTGGCCAATGTCGGCTCTTTTCAGTACGGAACGGGAATTGAAGCTGGGGAAACGGTGGAAAATTCTTTGGCGAAATTTCTGGGGCTTGTGAAGGTTTTTTGGGGGAAATTGTGTAATGGGATTTGGAAATTTTCTTGGGTTTGTGCTTAGGAGAATTCGGAGAATCTTGGTGATATTTTTATCAAATCTGGACCTATCTTTTTAGAAAAACTGGATAATGAAAGTTGGAAATTTAGAAAAATTTAGGGAACCCTGGTGACACTTGGAACGGGGAGAAAGTAGAAAATTCTAATAAAGATGTTTAGAGAATCCTTTACTCTAGAAAATTCCCTTTCTCTCCATTTAACCAAATTACAAATTTTTATTCTTGATACTTTATCTAAAAGAAATCCAAGAGATCTTCCCATCTCTTAGCATACAGAAAATTCAATGAAAAATACACCTATCCCCCGATTTACACGGTACTTTATTTACACGGTTTTCAAAATAACGGCTTTTCAGAAATATAAACTGTTAAAAATAAAAGTTTATGCGGGGAACATATTTGTACAGTCATTTTTTAGTACCGTTCGTTTGTTAACACTGGCATTAAACGAAAAAATGAACGGAATTTTTTGCACACAAAAAGTAAGTAAAGTTATTTTCGCCTTCATCGATCGCTCGCTCGAAACTAAACCCTGACTCTGAATATTTTTTGTTTTTCACTTTTATTTTATTTTTATATTACATTTAAAATAATGAATTTAATTCAATCACTGACTAAATTATGCGCATTTTGTTTTTTCCCCGATTTACACGGTTTTTCATACAAAAAGCCATGATTTCGATTTACACGGTATTCTGAGGAACCGATCATCCGTGTAAATCGGGGGACAGGTGTACTTTGCAATGTCAAAAAGTTCCCGCAGCAATTTTACATTCCACCGTTGAAAAAATTCAATAATTAAATTTTCCTGTAAAAAAAGAAATTCAAGTAGCTCCCTTAGCCTCTAGTATGATAGGAAACCAGTAGAAAAAGGTTTAACAAACACATTGACGCCGAAATAAAATGCGAGACTCGTGAGAAAGTGATTATAAAATATGCACAGCCTCGAGTTGGAATTTCGAAAACATCGAGTCGAACGTAGCTTTAAGGTCGAGTGAAATATTACAGCGAAGGGACACTCGCTACAGGAGGGATGCGCACACTCGCCTAGGGTTAAGCGGGATGCCGGGCATTTAAAGGGGGCGAGCACGTTAGAGCGAAATGGATCTTGATACGGCGACGTGTCGATGCTGCCAACAAAGGCGGACTGTTGTAAGGATATTAAAACGCGTTCGTGCACGACACCAGGGGTTGGTTGTCTTTCTGGACGTAGGAACGAGTTAGCGACACAATTGGTACGAGCAGACATCGGGATTAAACGTGAAGATAAATGTTCTACCACCGAAAAAGAAAGAAAAAAGAAACTACCCTATAGAAGTTTATAAATTTCTCATTTATAACCCAAGATTAATCTCAGCTAAGTGTTCTTAAATTGAACGTTTGCTATACTCCAGGAGAACCGTTAAAAATATATTCGAAAAGCTAGATCGTTATCGCGATCATGATTAAACCCACATCTTCCTCGACACCTAAATTCCCGAACTCCGAAAATTTTCGAGAAAACGTCGACCCACGTCTCCACCGCGTGTCTATTTCAACCCTCGAGCAAGCACAGCAATAGAGAGAGATGGTGGAAAATTTTCGAAAGCGCGTCAATCCACGTCTCTCTCCCCCTTCTCATTCTATTCCATTCGTTTGTTCAGATCAGACAGGTCGCGTCGGTGGTAGGTTGCACGAAGCGGATCGTTAAATTCCACCGTAGCCAGAGGATAATCACAGCGTTTGGCTCGTTTATTTCTTGCTCTCGATCATCGCCGCTCGAAGAAAGAACCACGACGAAAACATTTTTATTAATCCAGCATCCCATTACCCTGTGCTCATACATATGAATAACGTCGACGTGAAACAATGTAGCGGTATCCACTCCAGACGATGGAGAGAGAGAGAAAAAAAGAAGGTACTCTCTGTGTGTACAGTCTCTAAGGCTGAACGAAGAAACGTGGAAAGAGGGATGAAAAAGGAGAACGAGGAGAATCGTCTATCAAGTGGTTTTCAGGATCTTATCGGATCCAGGGCCTTAAGCATACAATATGATACCCGCCTATCCTCCTTCGCGACTATACTTCGACCTACCCTC